ATGAAAATATAGAAAAATACAAAACGTTGGCATCCCTAGTATGTAGAATGTAGATGATTTATGAAAATATAGAAAATATAGAAAACAATTGATTTTCTTAAAGTTTTTTTTAGTTGATTCTGATTTCTTGATAAATACCGTTTAAGTTAGAAAAAAATACATAAATTTTTTCTTGAAGGAGATAATAAATGAAGTGTATTATCCTTAAAATGAAACTATGCATGACAAATCCGGGGACATTTATTTAAAATTTTATCATTTATTCAATTAACTATTTTTTGGGTGAAAATTATAATAACAATGTTTTTACTTCTTTTTAATAGAAAATAAGTAAGAGAAAAGAATATTTATCTGGTTACATATAAGAAGTTTAAAACATTTTAGATTCAGAGGAGTATAATATTTAATACTTTAATCTTACGTGAAATATACTTTATTTTGACGTGTCAGGAGGGTGAAGAACTTTTAGAGAAAGAGAGTCCATTTTGACATATTATTTCACAAATAAGTGTCTAGACTGATAACAACAATGTTTATTGTCTTAATCTTGTTTTTGTTGATAACAAAGATAGAGATTATAAAGCTAAAAACTTTTGATTGTTAAATTAAATTCAGTTTGTTTTTAATCAACATATAAATTATGTAGCAACATTTTAAGCATTTATATCTCATATATTATAGTTTATAAGCACCCTTTCGCAAGCGGATAGCTGTTATCCTAACATCGGATAGCGGTAAAGGGCACATGAAATGCTTGTACAGCCTTTATTAAATAATAAAAAAAGGTGAAAATACTTTTCAACATAGAAAAAAGGGTCCTTAAAAATAATTTGCAATTTTTTTTGCATTATCTTTATGTTAGGATAACGGTAATAACCGTACTTAATGCGCTATCCGAAAATNCAAATTGTCACTTTTTTGTAGTTACCATATTGTCATTAACAAATTGTCACTTTTATGACGTTACCAATTTGTCATTACCAAATTGTCACTTTTGTGAGCTTACCAAATTTTCATTTCCAAATTGTCGTTACCAAATTGTCACCTTACCAAATTGTCATTACCAAATTGTCATTACCAAATTGTCATTACCAAATTGTCATTACCAAATTGTCATTACCAAATTGTCATTACCAAATTGTCATTACCAAATTGACATTTCCAAAAATCCGCCCGTCTATTTTCAGCTCGAACGATCATAATTAATGAATACTTAGATTCTGTTTTTATCTTTGAACTTTTTTTATTTGTCTTAAAAATGCCAAGAAATTAATACTAAACCCAGCCAACTTTACAGTTCAAATATTAGACATAAAAGTTGGAACAGATTTCAGAAATTTTGTAAATGTTTCATTGTACTGTACAGCTACTTGTTGTTCTACAGTACCTAGCTGTACAAGCTGTACATGGGTTTCCAACAACCAGTCAACCCGAACCAGGTCGGTAAGAAGAACAGGGAGTCCCAAAAACATCAAAAACATCAAAAACACGTGTTCTTTGAAGGGCTGGGCATGTTCCAACTTTTTTTAGCCGTTTCGTTAACGGTTAGTTCCAACCGTTAAAAAAGAGAAATTTCAGGAAGCCGTTAATTTTAAAGGTAAGAACGGAACATTTGTTTAGTTAACAGCAATTACTTTTTTGTCTTGTTTTAAATTACCGTCCTTTATTACTGGCGTGAAGCGGGAAAGTTTTTTTTTAACGGTTAAGAAATTGTTAACGGTATTAACGGTGTTAACGGTTTGTCAAATCGTTAACGGCACTTTAAGTTGAATTATTATCCTTTTCTGCGGACTGAGTAGTACCTAGATATTCAAATCAACTAATTTCAGCCTATTCTGAGGAGAACCCAGATTCTTTCATGGCTGGACAAACTCCAAATTTGTTTATCCAAATTCAAAGGTTACCGCGATCTATTCTCTGCATTTAAGGTCGTGAACACAGAAGAGGACATTTAAAACATCAAAACACGTAAATTTTTTTTTTACAAGTTTAATGCAATTTTAAGCAGAAAAAAATTCACCGCTAAAAAATCTGTTCCGTTTTTGTTTTCAACCGTTATTTTTTTCAAAACAGCTAATCGGTTTTTGCCGTTCGTTTATGGACTCTTCCGCAAATTTTCGAAAACCTCCATTCCGCTAACGGAACTTTGTTTAGCCCTAGTTCTTTGACGTTTTGGACAATTCAGTTTTCAAAATTTTCTTTTTCTAATTTCGTATTTTTTCGCCATAATTGTTTCTATATTTTTTTCCAAACTTTATTTTGCCCTAGGTATCTATTTATCTATAAACCCCCTGGCCTTCACACAATCTGATGGAACTATTGTTAAAAGGAGATTAGAAATTACTTGGTTCGGGAGACAGGTGATATTAAACATGATAATATAATTACAATAATAATAATATTAAAGGGAGTATTCGCAATAAATGAAAGAGGGTATAGGCTTACAGCGAAAAATAATCGCATTTGATCGCTACTAATCTTACTTCTATCTGTTGTGTCTATAAGAAGAAAATTGTTAAAAACGACTTATACTGAAGAACGTAGGCTCCATGCAAATTCAGAAAGTTGCAATATACGATTATTTTACGATACGAGTCGTATATTGCAACTTTATAAATTTGTATGGACGCTACGTTCTTCAGTAGAAGTCGTTTTTAACAATTTTCTCCTTATATAGGAGAGGATAGGATATAACTATACACTAAACAGAAGATAGGGGAGGATATCGATATAATACACTATGCACTATACAGGATAAAGGTGAGGATAGGCTACAATTGTACCAAGGAGATGAAACAATACTTGAAATACAGCCATCTTTGTATCCAGGTTAGTAATCTTTCAGGCAATATTTTGTTTTTCTAAAAATCCGCGAGTATTTACACTTGTTACACCACTTTTTTCAGCAAAAGTTTTAAAGAAGTAATTTGAAAAATTCCGAACAATGTTTGTTGGGGGCTTGCAACCTACTGTGAATATATGACGGCTCTCTGTAAATGCTGAATCGTTTAAAATTATGTAGATATATGATTCATATTCAATTTCACTTATTAAAAATTGGTTATCTTTTTGAACTTAGATGGGGGTACAGAGAGTCAATTGAATTTATTTCAACAATCCATTTACGTTTTAAAATCTATTTAGATGGGTTCTTTACATCAAATATCCAGCTACCCTACCCACATATACAAGATATCAGTTCAAATTCTACATGTATATTCAACTATAGGTTATTATTGATGGCATCATTTTTAGGACCGATTATTAAAAAAAATTAGCTTTTTTTGGCCCCACAAAAATTAGAGAATCAGAATTATATAGCATATGCAAAACTTTTGCTCTGGCCAAACATGCCAAAGCTATTTTTTCAGACCGGTTGGTTAATTCGTTTTAATAAATACTTTTGGTCAGAGAAAAGTTTTTGTATTTTTTTTTTTAAACTTTTATTTCGACTGATTAAAATTTGTTTAAAATTAAAATTAATTTTTTTTAAAATTACAGCAAACTTAAGAAAACTATTATTTTCCAATCTTAGATTATTTTCAAACAGCTTTAATCTGTAAAAACAAACCTCAAAACAATAGGCTAATTGCCAAGAAACTTAATAGTTTTGTTGAGTATACTTCAACTAATTATACTGCTGAATGTTAATATACTCTAAGTCAATTTACTTAGACATAGGTTTGACTTAAAATTGGTCTCACAAATTTGACTGTGGCTAAACTGTGACTTAAAACTCAAATTCTAATCCCAATAACTTTGCTACATGATCTTGTAACCATTTGATATTTCAAACTTAAACTAAAAGATTTAGTAAATCTGAGTTGGAAGCAATTACTCAGTTTTTTAGAATTGTAGCACGTGATATTTTAGCGTGAGATGGTTTGTGGATGGATCAGAGATTGCAGTTGCTTGTCTCAGGTGCTGTTTACATATTCATTCTTATCATTCTTTTCTCCGAGCACTTTCCTTTCTTATTCTTTGCCGTTCCTTTGTTTATTTTATTTTGAATTTTTCTTATCCCCTTTTATTTATGTTAAGACAGTATTTTTCATTCATATTAAAAAAAGAGTAAAATCAATTAGTTGCAATTACATAAGGTATCTTTTTTCCTCCTCTTTTCCAAATAGATTATCAAGTACAATAGGTGGCAACGGAGAAATGGATCAATTATACACGACACGACGTCACAAGTGTCAAATATAACAAGTTAAACGAAATTTTCTCACATTAGTTGACATGTTTTCCAAGATGAAATAAAAAAGTATAAAAACAGAAAATAAAATTGCACTTATTTTACTGTAAGATAAGCACTTTATTCTAAAATTATCACTATTATAAATAATTTTGAAGGACAAAAAATATGCTGACACTTGTGACTTAAGAATACAGCTGTATACCTGAGAGTGTGCAAATTCTACGTTGCCATCTATTGAACAGTGTACTAGAATCTATTTGGATATCATCTCTAATGGTACAATTGACACCAATGACGTCATGCATAATTTCTTCAACATTCCATTATTGTGACCCAATAATGATTTATAATCTATTTGTTTTAAATAAAAAGTTATCTCTAGATCTCAACCTACTTGGATGTGGAACAACAGAGAGTTCTTAAAAAAGGAAATCAAAATATAAATAAAAGCATTAGTTAAAAAATTGTTTTAAAAGAAAACATAATTCTGAATAACAAGAAAATCATATTGTTATATTTTGATTTAATCTGGGTTTGAATTTAACAGATGAAGGTATTGAAAATGTAACAACATTGTTTTTAGTAAATACTTTAATTAATTTTAAATTGAAATTTAAAAATATTGAAATATATTCGTGAATTCCATCCAACTACGTGTTATAATTAAGAAACAAAAAAAATTAACCCACAAACTACTCCTCCGTCAAACGGTCAGAAAGGTTTTTAGTGTCCGAAATCTTAAATTGTAATTTCTTCAGTAAAAAAAAGTAATGACATGCAGTTTAATAAATATTACAACCGACGCATATTTTGCGTAGATTGGATCGATGATGTTGACCGGAAGTCATGACGCAGGTGCTTACCGAGACTACCAAGGGGAGGGGGATAATAACCTTGCTACCAGCGCAGTTTACGCACAAGAGGAGGATCTACGCAATCAGCTGACCTGGGGAGTTAGGTTAGTGGCAAGTGGTATAAATTCTTTAACTGTCTTTAGTAGTTTTTTACTCTATGATTGAAATTAAGAAATGAACGCAAATATTTTAAATGTTTTTATTAGAAACATATATTTTGAAAATTTATCTTCTTAACTGTGTTGACTAAATTATAAATTTTGGTGTAATGTATTCCACCCCTAGATAAATTAGAATAGATTGTTCATGCAGACTGTAAAGCTGAAAATTGTACAACCCCTTGTACATCATGAACTTGTCATTTGAAGAGGTCATTGAATACGTTTTACTTCTCGGGGTCAATCTGTAGAGTATTTTTTTTACTAATTTATTTAAAGAAGTTTAATAAAAACTAGGCCTCACCCATCAACTATTTTAGCTTTTAACCCTAAACAGGCTTGGCCGGCCCTATAGTTTTTTTTTGTCCTAGCACTCTCATTTTTGTCACTATTACCGTGAAATTTTGTGACTTTTAATCAATAGTTAATCTAAAGGATTTTTCTGTCAATTTTTTTAATGCATAGGGTAGGGTACAGGGCGGTAAAAAGTCCGGTCTGTGTAAAAAAAAATCTAAAATGGCCCTTAACCTTTTTGTGACTAAAGCTACAGATTTAAAAATGATATTTTTAAAAATTCCTTAAAAAATGGATTTAGAAACATGTGTCNGGGGGAGAGGTTGGGTCCAAAAATTGTATACTAGGACAGAATCAACTTAGTTAATTTAATAAAATAAAATGGTAATCATACCGAGATTTTCACTGTCCACATGTTGATTGTTGACACATAAAATTCATCAAAGTATCGCTATCATCCCAAGAGATTTAATAGTTTGAAAAGTCTTCCAACTTCAATATGTTCTTTGTGTGTAAGGGGAGTCTGATTGTCATCATTATCACTCACATATCGGTAGAAATCTTCGTTCTAATCCTTTGAAATTCAACTTTTATCTATTATGTCTGCAATATTTGTAAACAAACCCCCATAAATTTGTACAGAGCACAAATATACTTGCCGCAAACCTTTATATCCAATGTACTGTATGACTGAAGCTAGTCCATAGCAGGGAACAGGAATAAAGGGAAAGGAAATGGCGCTGGTCCGGCAAGAGAAAGCCAGTCGCACTGCTTTGCAGACCAGTACAGTAAACTTACAAACACTCTTCTGGTACAGACACACAACATGACTGCAGTCAAGGAAATTGTAGAACAATGTCGTCAATTATAATTAAACTTGATTAATGAGTAGTTTATTGTAAACTTTAATCAAATTATATTCTTTGCATGAAAATTTGGCTTTATATAGGGTTGACTTAAATATGTAAATAATATATTACATATATATTAAACATATGTTTAAGTAAACAATTAACAATAAACAAATGTACTCTCCTAGACTGTACAAATACCGAGATTCTTACGTACTGTATAAACCTACAGTACACATCTTTGGTACTTTAAACTGACACACACTCTTTTGGTACAGACACACACACATGCCGTTTCCGCCCCCTGGTCCATAGCTAAATTGTCATTTTCAATTTCAACTGTTTCCCTCCGGTATGGTGAAGACGACATGAACAATCTATTCTAATTTATCTAGGATTCCACCGTTCCCCTCAGCTATTATAGGTAGGTTTTAAAAACAGAGACACCTGATTTTTTTTCTTCAGGTTCTGGAAGTAGAGTAAGTCTAGACCTAGCATGTAGATTTTTAGATTTTTAGATTTTAGATTTTTAGATTTTTAGATTTTTGAGAAAAAATCCATTTAAAGGGGGGGAGGAATTCAACACTATGTGACACCAAATTGTTGTTTAGTTTACACTGAAAAAAGTGTTTGACTTTAAATTTTTCATGAGATTATTAGGCAATTCAAAGTGCAGTGAGTTGTTCTACATAATTATTATCCTCACATAATATATTTATCAATGTAGAATTAACAAATCAGAAAAAACCATATAAACACTATTTAATAGGGTGTAAACCTCAAGTGACAAACATTGAAGCACATTTTGATGTATTAATCTAGTTTTCTCCACGATTCGTCTATAGAGGCTGAAATGTAAAAAGTTCAGTTCAGACACTTTTTACGAAATACAATGAATACACTGACATGTTTTGTGAAGGGATAAAATATATTAGAGATAAAAATTTACATCTTTATAATTGTAATATCCTTACATCTACTATCTAGGTTTCTGTATATCCGGGTTGGCTAGCACCCTACATCTACTATCTAGGTTTCTAGATATCTGGGTTGGCTACTACCCTACATCTACTATCTAGGTTTCTAGATATCCGGGTTGGCTACTACCCTACATCTATTATCTAGGTTTCTAGATATCCGGGTTGGCTACTACCCTACTCTAGATGAAAAGTTCTGGTTGGTTCATGGCATCATTAAAACTCATCCTATGACTGAAGGAATTTCTCAAGTAAACTTGAATATGTTGAACAAAAGTTCGCTAAACACATTGATTTTCTAATTCCAATTTCTTTAACTTGATGACCCAATATGGCATTTGCTAAAACAAAAGAAAACAAGAAAACCGTTCAGAGATCATTTTATGAGCCATTCCCTTTTGCAGAGAAAGCATGAATGAAAATAAAAAGTTGAAATAAACTATAATAGGCATATCTAACTCATACATGATCAGACAAACCTTTTAAGGATACCGTTAAGGTTTAAATTTTACGTTTCCTCATGAAAAGTTACTTAAAATTACGCTTACAGTCCTTTTAAGTTTAAATTTTACGTTTCCCTTTACTAGGTTCGGGAGTTCTTAAAAAGTTCCCGGGATATTATGGTTTGGGAGATAAATGGATTTGAACAACCCTGGGATGAAGATGCCCATCAGGTTGGTAAATTGAACAGTATACCACAATATTGGTTTGAACAACCCTGGGATGAAGATCTTCATCAGGTTGGTAAATTGAATGGTATAACCAAATATTGGGTTAAACAACCATGGGATGAAGATACCCATCAGGTTGGTAAATTGAACACTAAAACACACTATTGGTTTGACAATCCTGTGATGAAGATGCCAATCAGCTTGGTAAATTGAACAGTATAACACAATATGGTGTGAACAACCCTGGGATGAAGATCTTCATCAGGTTGGTAAATTGAACAGTATAACACAATATTTGTGAACCATATCCCTCAAATTTCCCCTGTTGTAAAGGTCGTCTCCGACAAACTGTACCTCCGTTGAATATACTCCGTCCACTCACCAAACCAAACCTTGCCAAG